TATTATTTACAATCGATGATTGATTTATGAGTGTTTACACGAATGTGTAGGTAAGTGTGCGTGCGTGCGTGTGTGCGTGTGTGTGTTTGACCCAATTTCGTCATTTTTTTGCAAGCGAATTCACTTATTTATTAGACCATTATTTTAATACTTTACTCTCTCGACCGAGCCTGATGATAAAGTCTAAAACCTTTGTCAATAATAATAATAATAAAAATAATAATAATAATAATGTCATTTTTAATTACGTCATCACGTCGTCAATATTTATTAAAAAAAAAAAAAACAAAAAAAAACTTACCGGTCGATTTCATTGAATTCAATGTGTTAACGACGATACTACGTCATCACGTACTATGACGTCATTAAAACTCATTTTCCCCGTTTTTTTGTCAATTAATTCTGCAATACCTGAAAATAAAAAAAGAAAAATTATTTAAAACGTAATATATCCAAATAAATAAATAAATTAACAAAATCCGCGGAATTTGTTATTATTAAATAATTAAACACGTTGCTTATTATTATTATTATTATTATTATTATTATTATTTTGTTTTGCCCTAAATTTTATACGACGAATAATAATAATAATAATAATAATAATAAATTTGTTTTGGTTTTTTTTTTTTTTTGTTTAAAGAAGAGCTGAAATAGCATTATTATTATTATTAATTTTTTGTGACTGACTGTGTCCTAGTTTTGCAGATTCCAACCCAAATTATTATTATTATTATTATTATTATTATTATTATTATTATTATTATCAATAAGAATATTTATTTTTTTCAATAATGGGATTTTTTTTTTGGATTCCTCCTCCTCATCCTGTTTACTCCAGAGAGATGTTATGGCTGGAGTCAAAATCGGGAATGAGGAGGACACGTCGTGGTATTTAGGTCACAGATTCGGGGTTTCGTTCCTTAGGGATCAAGGTAGAAAGAGACTTTTCCGACGGAAAATAATAATAATAATAATAAATTTTAAGGTTTCAACCTTTATCTTAAAAAAAAAAAAAGAAATTTGTTTGCTTGTATTTAAATGCGTATTTAAATGACCTCAACATGATTTTTTTTTTTTTTTTTATGAAAAAGGTATTTTATGCTAACTTAACATAACATAACTTTTTTTTTATTAATATTTGCAAAATTTTATGCAGATTTCATAACAGCCTCGTCAAACTTGTAACTCCCCTTGTAGAGAAAATAAATTTTTTTTTTTTTTTTATAAACCTTGACCGTGACCCATACTTTTTTGTTTTTTAATACAAAAAAAAAAAAAAAAGTTAAATTCTATACGTTAAACAGATAGAATAAATTTATGAAAAAAAAAAAGCTCGTAGGAAAGTTAAGAAAAAAAAAAAAAAAGAAAAGATATTTACCATGAGCTTAAATAAATAATGATATAAATTAATTAGCATCATGTTAACCTCGACATTCCCTTATTACAAGTTTCTTCTTATATTTTAATATGCAATAATTGTTAATTTCTTTTTCCTTTTTTTCCCTTTTTTCCTTTGAATAATAATAATAATAATAATTTTTTAAAAACAATCTTTCATCTTCTTAAAAAATATTTTCCTTTTCCCCACCTAAAATACTGTATTATCTAATGTGAAAACTTACTTATTACCTTGTGGGGAAAAAGGGCTTTTTGTTGTTCGATATCTCGTTCGAGACCTCGATAATCGTTTTCTTTTTTTAAAATCTTACTTCCGTTTCTTCTAAAATCTCCTTTGTTTGTTTGTTTGTTTTTTTGTTTACATAAATTTCGTATTAATATTTTTAACGACAATCATATTTTCAATAATAATAATACTTTCGATAATTATCGATTATTTAAATCTTAGCTTAAAATGTTTCTTATGGTAAAATAGAAATAGTACCGATTTTTACCGATAGATGGTAGGTACGTTTTTCGGTTACCATGGAAACCGTTAACGAGGTGGTTGTTTTTTTTTGGCGCGATTAAAAAAGCATAAATTTCATAGATTAAATAAATCTTAATGTTATTGACACGATATCATAGGTTTTATATTCAGTTTTACAATGGTGCATACTACTCATTACATTTCATTAATTTATTTATTCTTTTACTTCCAACGTAAAACAAAACAGATTTTTTTTTTGTAACTACGTTCGTAATTTATTATTTTCTTAATAAGTTTTTGAAATGTTTATATTATATAATCTTGAAATAAAAAAAAAAAAAACGAAAGTTTTTCAAAGATGCTGTTCAGACATATCATTGCAACTCAAGTGTTGTAAAATTAAAAATAATAATGATATGAATTTTTTTGGTTTTACAATCCGAAAAAAAAAAATCATTGAATGACGTAAATTTGTTAAAATGGTCAATTACGATGATGATTCCTTGGTCGTGACCGGGGAACCTAAAGGTAAATATTTAAAATGGATTCTCTTAATAATAATGAAAACATTATTATTATTAGTTGTTTGCATCCATGAAGTATAAACGATTATTTTTTTGTCATTCAAAACGTTTACAACCTTGCGGTTAAGTGTAATTAATAATGAAATAAATATTTACATAAGAAAATAACGTAAGTAGTAGTAGTCTCCCTATTAACTTCTTGAAATATTCTTCTTCTAAATTAAATTATTATCATTCCAGGTATAAAATATTATATTGACCAAAATCAAACAATTTTGGCGTGACGTCATTATAATGACGTTGACGAATTCATTTAAATTTCCCTCCACCAATTTAAATACTAATAATTAACGTAATATTACTTACACATTAATTAACGTGATAATACTAATAATTGTTGTTATACAATAATAAAGTAAATAATTATGTAATAATTTTTGTATTGATGGGATATTTTACCTGTAAAAAAAAAAAAAAAAAAAATAAAATTTTATTAATCTATACAAAAAATAATAATAATAATAATAGTAATTAATAATAATAAATTTATTTATTTTTTAATTTTAGATTCAAAATGTCAGATCCGAATAATATTGGTAGTGACATAATAAGTTTTTATCGTGGGAAAAGTATTTTTGTGACAGGAGGTACAGGTTTGATGGGTAAGGTATTGGTTGAAAAATTATTAAGAACATGTCCTGGAATAAATAAAATATATTTATTGATGAGACCGAAAAAAGGAAACGATGTCAACACAAGACTATCAGAACTCATTAACACAAGAGTAAGATTAAAAAAAATAATTTTTTATATATGTATACAACGGGGGGAGGGTGAAGGTGGGGGGGGGAAATTAATAATCGATAACCTGGTTTTTTTTTTAAATAGATTTTTGATGGGATACGAAAAACACATCCGGAAACAATGAGTAAATTAATATCCGTTGCTGGAGATATAACGGCTCCAAATTTAGGATTAAATTCATCCGATGTTAAAATTCTAACGGAAAACGTTTCGATTGTTTTTCATTCTGCTGCCACGGTTAAATTTGACGAATCATTAAAAGAATCAGTCGCTATGAATATGAATGGGACAAAAAGCGTCGTACAACTTTGTCAAAAAATGAAAAATTTAGAAGTGAGACATTAAATTCGATTATTTTTTCGATTGTTTTGGAAACTGGAAACTGGAAATTTATTTATTATTTCAGGCTTTGGTTCACGTTTCGACAGCTTATTGTAATTGCGATAAAGAAGATATAAGTGAAGTTATTTATCCACCTCCAGACGATCCGGAAAAAATAATGAAATGTGTCGAATGCATGGATAAAGAACTATTGGAAAATATAACTCCACAGTACGATCGTGTTATTTTTTTTCCTTTTTTTCCTTTTTTTGTGTTCCTTTTAAAACTCGATTTTTCTCAATGGAAAAATTTTTTGTTTTAAGAATCATTCGTTCGAGACCAAACACTTATACATTTACAAAAGCACTAGCGGAACATATCGTTTTAAAAGAGGGTGTCGGACTTCCGGTTGCCATCGTCAGACCATCAATCGGTGAGTAAAAACAAATACGTAATGAATAAATAAATAAATAAATAATAATAATAATATTTACGTATGAATTTAGTTACGGCTGCATGGAAAGAACCGCTTCCAGGTTGGATTGATAATTTAAACGGACCAACGGGTTTATTAGCTGGAGCGGGTAAAGGAATTCTTCGTACCTTACTTTGTTACAGAGAATTAATTGCGGATTTGATTCCGGTCGATATAGCAATTAATTTATTAGTCACCGTTGCATGGCACACTGCTCAAACAAGGTACAACAAAAAAAAATTAATTAATTAATTATCACTTATCGTATATTGAATATTTTGAATTTTTTTTTGTCAGACCTGACAATGTACCTGTTTATAATTGTACGAGCGGTGGATTAAATCCGATACGTTGGATGGACGTTGAAACTTGGGGACATTCTTCTCTAACGACTTTACCATTTAATGACGTCATTTGGTATCCGGGAGGTAGTTTTAAAAGTTCTAAAATAATAAATATCCTTTGTCAAAGTTTTTTTCATTTTATACCCGCTTACTTAATCGATACGGTATCCGTTTTAATCGGACGTAAACCAATGTGAGTGTGATGACATGTTTTTAAATGTTTTTGTTTTGTGTTTTTGAAACTGTTTCAAAACTTTATTGTTTTCCAACAGGATGGTTCGAGTTCAAAAAAAATTTAAAAAAGCAATATCCGTTCTTGAATTTTTCACGACGCACGAATGGAAATTTCATTCGACGAATGTGAGAAATTTATTATTGAAATTAAACGAACATGATAGGAAATTGTTTAATTTTGATGTTAAACAAGTTAATTGGAAAAAATACATTGATAATTACGTCGAAGGAATAAGACTTTACATATTGAAAGAAGATCCGGAAAGTTCACATAAAGCTAAAATTAATTTAAGAAAGTAATTGACGCAAAAAAAAAATTTTTTTTTTTTTACTTGTTTGTTGTTTGTCCTCCTTTAAAACAAAAATAATAATTGTTTGTTTGTTTGTTTGTTTGTTTGTTCTAGAATGTACGTTCTTCATAAAATGACTCAAATTTTATCATTGTTATTTTTAATTAAAATTCTCATCGGTAGTAAAATGGAAATCGTTAGAAAAATGTGGACTTCGTTATGGACTATTAGTTTATATCTGGCTCGATTTATTTCAAATTCCATCCGTTTTTAATTTATATATATATATGTGCCTAAAATTAAATTTTATTATTATTATTATTATTATTATTATTATTAATTTTAATTTTATTTACAAACAAAACTAAAATCATTATTATTATTATTATTAAAAAAAAATTAAGAAAATTTTAAACATGTTTTCATAAAATTTATTTCAACACAAACATTAATTTATTTATAAATTATTATTATTATTATTATTATTATTAAAACAAATCGCAGACTAATACACTTGTTTGTTGTTTGTTTAACGGTAAAAAAAATTAAATGGAATTGTTGTATAATCGATCAGATAATTAAATTTATGTAAAATAAAGATGGTGAGTTTGGAAATTGAGGAAAAAATTAAGGACACGATAATATGTAAGTAAAAAACTTCCCTATATAATGTTTTTCATTAAAAAAGGGGGACGGATAAAAATTAATGTATGTATGTGCGTGTAAATTGTTATTAAATTTTTTATATTTCGTGTACACAAAATACGAGAAAAGCGTGTATTCGGATTTAATTCGATATAATCACTTAAAAAAAAGCTCACTGTCGTTGTGTTTAAAATTATCATCTACTCACACTACTTTGGTTGAAGCTTTAAAAAAAAAAAAATTAAAAAATGCGATTCCATTAAATTAAGGTTCAGGATTTGGTATTTTATCCAATGGTGGACACATCCAATGTCTTATATTTCTTGGCATGACCATTTCTTCTTGTTTATGACTCCAAAAATCCATAAAATCCACAACTTTTTCAACCTTAAATCCCAAAAAAAAAAAAATTTAAAAATTTTTAATAATAATAATAATAATAATAATAATAAAATGGAATGTTTTTCTAACTTGTTCGCTTCGAATGGCTGGTCCGATACCCGGTACATCTTGTCTCATGTATTTTTTAAATATTTTATAACCTAAAACCTCTGCCGTATATTTTCGTACTCTTGCTGCTGCTCCCAATAAATAACTACTCAGTTCTTCAAATTCTTGTTCTTGTTCGTCGACCGTACTTTCTTCGTCTTCTGCTAACTTCGCTTCGATTTTAGCTCTTATAGATTCTTCCATATCTTCTAATACGATTTTTTTTCTACAATGCAAACAACACAAAAAAGGTTTTACTTAATAATTAAAAACCGTAAAAAAAAAAAAAAAGTATTTTTTATGTAGATTACTTCGGTGGTACTTTCAATTGTACAGCGCTTTCCCTTTCAATTTTTTCTTCCAATGATTTTCCATCATCAATTTTCATTTCTTCATCTTCCGGTTTTAAAATAATACTTTCACCCTCTTCTTCTCTCGCTTCACCCGACAAACCTGATTCCGGTTCGACGGCATCTTTTAAAAATAATTTTTCTGATGATGTCATTGAAAAATCATCGAAAACCTAATTAAATTTAAATTAATTTAAAATTAAATTAAATTTATTTAAAAACAATTTAATGTCTTACTTCGTCAGTTATTGAATTATCATCATTTTTTTCTACCACTTCTTCGGTATCGGAAACTGCTGATGCCTTGAAAATATTTTTTTTTTTAATAAATGAGTGTTTAAATAATAAAATCTCATTGAATGAATATAATTACCATTCTTTGAGATAAATCTTCATCAATTTGAATTGATTTTTTTTCACCCGTACAAATCCCTTTTTGTACATCTTCTCCAACCATTTCCGAAAATCTATATTCGCCCTCTTCCTCCACTTCATAAAGTCCTTCTTTAATCCTCTCAGCTATTTCGCATACTTCATCCTCGTACATGATGGCTTCCAATTCTTCTCTTTCTTCATTTGTTAACGGTCCACATTCCATTTGAGCCAAAAATATATACAGATCAATAAATAGGGCTGAAATAGAGAGTGAGATTAACACGAAATAATTAAATAAAAAAATTTGTAATATTTTTTTTAAAATTACAGAATGGTATTGTTGCCATTCCTCCTTCCGGTTCTTCCGTGAACAATTCGCAAATGAGAATCATTGTTTGAGATAATGTATTGCTAATAAAACCCGCGCACACACCAACAAATTGTACCCAATTAATACTCGTCACGGCTCCAAGTAGGGCTATCAATTTAATAAGAAGCATTTCCTGTAAGCTAACATCGCTCCATTTTTTAAATAACGTTTGTGCACTGATCATCGTTTCAGGATCTTTACCAAACTGTTAACAACGTATAATAATAAATTTTTTTTTTTTTATTTTTAGGTATGCGACAGCGAAAGTCGACCGATACGATACCTGATTTATCAACATTTTTATGTAGCCGGGCGTTAGACCAGAAGGGCTGTCGTAAGGTGGAAATTCAATTCTTTCTTTAACAGGTGGTTCTTCACCATTTGCCAAAGCTCTAAAATATGCTGCTGACCATTTTAATAAATCGTACGGTTGCGTTCTGATGGCTGCTTTGCAATAAAGTTTCATTATATACGGAAATGTCGGTGGAATGTGAATTTGTTCGGAGCAATAAATTCTATCGAGGAGATCTGGCATTTTTAATTGATTATAAATAAAACCTGAAACACGATATTAAACGTAAGTAAGTTATTATTATTATTATTATTTAAATTACAAACGGGGAAAAAAATAAATAAATTTAACTTACCTTTCGACAAAAGGTTACGTTTAGACAAAAAAAAAAAAAAAAAATTATTAAAAAAATTAAAAATTAATGATCAATAATCCATTTTGTGTTATTGTTTTACTTTGGCGGTTGTTACCATAGCAACCACAGCCTGAATAAAATAACCCAAAAGCAACGACATTAATTACGTTTAATTTCAAAACAGGCTAAAACAACGTACAAATAACTGTTTTATCATTTTTTGCCACTGTACCCTTATCGCTTTTGACATAAACTCGTGGAATATGTGCCATGAAAAAAATGTCGTTAACTGTTGATATTATTACAAAACTAATCAACTTACCAAATTTTTGATTAATAATTTAACAATTAAAAAAACCTTTGATTTAAAAAAAAAATGAACAAACGTTTGACAAAAGAAACATAATTCTCACTCTTAAATAAATTTGTTTATTTGAATATGATGGATGAAAGGCAAAAGAAAAAACCGTTAAAAAATTTTACAAAAAAAAAAAAACACTTATGTAATTTAACGATAAAACTTTTTTTTTTATAATAATTCACTCGTTTCTTAATCTCGCTCATTCATAAATAATTTTACGATTTTATAACCGCTACAAACTACTTTTAAAAAAAAAAAAAAACGTTATAATTAAGGCTCATCATAATAGAATTTAATTTAACAAACTTTTTTCTCAATGGCGTCGTCGCATAAATTTGTTATAATCCATCACGAAATAAAAACTAAAGTATTATTATTTTATTTATTGAAAGAAAAGTTTTTTAATGACACTGAAGCGACGGCGTAATACTTTCAACAATTAAACTCAAACAATCTAAACTTGTAGAACCGTCCATGATGGTACTACTACTACTACTACTACCATTTTGAATCGTCGTTCCGGAACAATCTGAAACAAAGCGTAAAAAAATTTATCATAGAGTAAATAAACTTTTAAACAAATCGCGCCAAATACTCAACGGTCGTTAATTCCATCATTATCATAAGTAAAATGTTTTCTTTTTAAATAAAAAAATATGAAACCTATTCATAATGATAATATTTAAATTTTTTTTTCGCTCTCATTTTATTTATAAATAAAATAAATTATTATTATTATTATTATTATTAAAAAATTAATAAATATTCTATAAATAAATGACCGAATAACGTTAAATTTATTAATAATATAATAATAATAATAAAATAAAAAAAAATTTTTTCATTTTTATTTTTAAACATTTTTATTTAATAAAATGTTTATAATTAATTAATTTAATTTTTTTTTTTTTTT